AAGGAAGATTCCTAGATGCCATCAGCAAAGCACTCAAAGACAATGAAAATATCTCAAAGACAAGTCATTGTCCCGTTCCTGAGATGATGGTGTATCTACCTGTTCCAAAAGGTACCATTGTGTATCGACGACCAAGACAATTTGCTCACTCCCAGAGACCTATCCTGGACGAGACAGTCGCACGCTGGTTAGAGGATGATGTGATTGAGCTTGCACCAGCAGGCAATCCACATAACAACACACTCACCCTAGCAGCAAAGAAAGATTTGAACGGAAAGAAGTCATTGTGGCGCGTGTGTCTTGACCCCCGTGCTCTCAATGTGCATTTACCGGAGGATAATTTCCCTCTCCCTCTTATCTCCGACATAATGCAAAAAGTAGCTGGTCATTCCATTACAGCACCATCGATCTCACCCAAGCGTAACATCGTCTACCTATTCATAAAGAAGATAGGTACCTCACTGCTTTCATGCATGAGGGAAAACAATACATGTTCAAAAAGGCCCCCTTTGGTCTGAAGCCACTCTCGAGCTTGTTCCAAAGAGGTATGTCTCGCATACTTGGCGATTTGCCTTTTGTTCTGAACTTTATTGATGACATTGTTATCTTTTCAAAAAGCAGAGAAGAGCATGCAGCTCATGTCAAATGTGTGATCGAAAGACTCAACGAGGCGAAATTGATCATCAACAAGAACAAGTGCAATTTTTTCAGCACACAGATCTCTCTGCTGGGATTCATTGTTGATCTCTTTGGAAAGAAAGTCGACCCTACCAAGTTGGCTAACATTCACGAATGGGCACCACCTACCACTGCCAAACAAGTGCAATCATATTTGGGCACCCTCAATTTCTTTCGTGAATATATCCCTCTCTACAGTACTATTGCTGCACCACTTGATGCACTTCGTCACAGAGAAGGAACTTTTAAATTATCAAAAGATGAAATGGATTCTTTCAATGGACTCAAGGAACTACTTGTACGAGCTCCCGTGTTATCCTTCCCAGACTTCAGTCGACCGTTCTACGTTGCCACGGACGCGTCCAACGTTGGAATTGGTGCGGTACTGTATCAGTTGCCGGAAGGTGTACCCGAACCGAAGGATATGCAGTCCGTTCCCTCGAACGTCAACTACATATCTTTCATGGCTCGCACTTTGCAGGACCGAGAGAGAAAATATTCCGCTACTAAGAAGGAGTTATTAGCGATCGTTTTCGCATTGAAAAATTCCATCAATATCTTTGGGGTTACCATTTTACCTTGTTCACCGATCATCGGGCTCTTACTTTTCTTCACTCACAGCAAGATTTGAACCCAATGATGACAACTTGGTTTGACACCATCATGGCTTACTCGTTCAACATTGTTTACCGTCCTGGAGTACTCAATGTGTTACCTGATGCGTTATCTCGTCAGTTTCCTCAGAAGTTATGGACTGACAGGCCTAAGTTGAAAACACCAATGAAAGTGTACGGCTACATTCATATGCTCAAAGACAAATCGGTTCCTAGAATCACTGTCGCAGCGAAAGACCGTCCTTCACTCATGACTGAGGTTCACTCCCTCGGTCACATTGGTGCGAACAAAATGGTTGACAAAATTCACGCCCAAGATAAGACGTGGCCATTCATGGTCAAGGATTGTCTTGAGCACGTCAAACAATGCCCTGAGTGTCAACGCATTAATATCACTCGCAAAGGGTACCATCCCCTCAAGGCTATTCATGCACATTTACCAGGCGAGCATATGACTGTAGCGGCCCCTTCATGTGCAGAGGATATAAAAAGGCATATAAAAAATATCCAAAGCCCAAGGAACGGAGTGTTTACTTCCATAACTGACATATCTCTTCATAGTGGGCAACAGAACACAGAATAAAATAGCAATAGACAGCACATGTTTTTTTAAAATGTAATCTCTCCCCTGTATTTCGCCCCAAAGATACAGTTGAGAGTACAAGTGCTTTAGATGATCACATACAAGAACTACTCTGGCGAATCTTGCAGTGAGGGTTACAGGTTAATAGTAGATGGACACATTCAAGAGTGTGGTGTGCGAAAAATAAGAAGACTTTGTTGTTTGGAGAATAGGTTGGTGTTTAGTAGGATAGTTAAACAAAAAATGTTACAATGGTTGTCTTATATGCTTGGTATCATATATACATTCTCATCCCATAGTCGCTATGGATATTGTCGAGATCTACAGAGATTTAACAAACACCATATTATAACTTGGACGTGAAAGGCCTCCGTAGATCTCGCTGGTGAATTCCATTTGTCCTCGAAAAACAACAAATATCTTCTCGTCCTGACAGACGTATGCACCCGCTTCGTTATTTTGAGAGCTATACCTGATAAAACAGCCGCTACTGTTGCGACCACGCTGTTTGATATTTTTACCCTGATCGGATTCCCCCGAGTCCTTCAATCAGATAACGAAAAAGAATTTTCCAATCAGGTCACAAAAATAATGACAGAACAATTGGGTATCCATCACCGTCTTGTCACACCCTATCATCCGAGAGGCAATGGACTAGCCGAGAACCGGGTTAAAGCGGTCAAAGAAATTCTTCGAAAAGAGACCAAAGGCAAAAACCACGAATGGGATCGTCATGTTTCCATGGCCCAATTTGCCCTCATTGCAAATATTGCGAGTCTGCATGGTTCCACGCCTTACTCTCTTTTCTTCGCACGCAAGGAAAACGGACACTACAATTACACTGACCTCTCGAACCAGGTCATGTCCCATGAAGACTTGCTGAAGAGACTCAAATTTATGACTACGATCGTGTTCCCCGCTATTGAAGCGAAGGCGAAATCTAATCAGCGGAAAATGATTGAGAGATTCAATAAAACGATACTGCACAGCGAATTTCCTGATGGTTCCACAGTTATGGCGGTTGATCCTATCAAAGGAGACTCCCTCTCTCCGAGATATGAAGGACCGTTTACTGTTGTTCGTAAAAACAAGGGCGGTGCATACATCCTCAAAGATGGCACTGGCTCTATGCTTGGTCGTAACTATGCGCCCTCGCAGCTCAAACTTGTATATGAAGACCCAGACTCTTTCCTTACGTACGAAGTCGAGAAAGTTCTTGACGCTCGTTGTACAAAGGAAGGGACATGGGAGTACTTTGTCAAGTGGAGAAATTATTCTGATAACGACAACACCTGGGAACCAGAGGACAATTTTGTTGAGAGGAAATGCATCACGGACTATTGGGCCGATCACCCACCCCGTAATGAGGATCCTCGTCCGCACTCTCGTCATGATTCGCAAACGGATCAGCCAACGCTTACCACCGACGAGCAAATGAGCGAACCTCACAGTAGCAATCGCTCGAACAAAAAGAAGAACAAGTTCACACCTAAAAAAGGTGAACACAACCTTACTCGCAATAAGCTCACTCAGTCCAGTCAATCAAAAATCAATGAGTTGAGACCTAGAACTCGTTCTCGGATCGGGAAGGATTGAAGACAATCATATCCTCCGATTGACACATAAAACGCATCGACGTTTTGTTTGAACAAAAATCGCACTGACGATTTGTTCGAGGTTTTTTAATGGTGCCACAACCTTTTTCCTCACAATAATAACAAACATCCGCAGAGGTTTTCCCGCTTTCCTCTTGCAATCAAATTCACTATATTGAGGTTTTTATTTTTTCCTCACAGCTTATCAACATATCTACCGAGGTTTTTATTTTTTATCCTCACACACTGTAATAGCAACAGAAGAAGGGTGATAGACAAGAGCAGGAGGCAGAAACGGATGGTGTTTATTGTACAGGGGAGCCAGGGTATTTATGTGTGCTAGGCTATGGGCTCCAGGATGGTGGTGATGTGGTGAGGTGATGTGGTTAGATGGGGATGTAATTAGGTGATAATGTGGTTAGATGAGACAGTGGTTAGATGACGCTAATGATCTAGGGTCACAACAGATTATGATACTGTGACAATATGTATATGTGTGTGTGTCACAGTATCATAATCTGTTGTGACCCTAGATCATTAGCGTCATCTAACCACTGTCTCATCTAACCACATTATCACCTAATTACATCCCCATCTAACCACATCACCTCACCACATCACCACCATCCTGGAGCCCATAGCCTAGCACACATAAATACCCTGGCTCCCCTGTACAATAAACACCATCCGTTTCTGCCTCCTGCTCTTGTCTATCACCCTTCTTCTGTTGCTATTACATGGTAGCAAAAGTAACTTCGATCCATACCCCTCTGCCCTGATCTGTCAAATTTTCTGTTCCTGCTCCAGCTCCGTTCCTGTCTACCCATATTTTATTTTCTCTTTCCACACGTACAGCTCTCTCCTCCTTTTACCATATCCCTACTATCCTTTTTTATTTTCTTACTTTTCTGCACCCTTCCGGCTCTTATGTCTGCTACCGACGAAATTCGCCAGCTCGCCTCTGGCCTTACTGACGAGGCCAGGACCAGGATTGAAACCCTCCTTGCAAGCCTTACTCCCCTACCTCCTGCTCCAACCCAACTCGAACAAGAGGCTGCCTGCCGCGATGTTGCCCGCACCCTCCATAAAATCCTTAAGCCTCAGACCCCCTCTCCTTACGCTGGCGCGATCGACACCGATGCCTGTCATAACTTCATCGACAATCAAGAGGCGTATTAGGAGGCCTTTCACGTCCAAGTTATCATATGGTGTTTGTTACATCTCTGTAGATCTCGACAATATCCATAGCGACTATGGGATGAGAATGTATATATGATACCAAGCATATAAGACAACCATTGTAACATTTTTTGTTTAACTATCCTACTAAACACCAACCTATTCTCCAAACAACAAAGTCTTCTTATTTTTCGCACACCACACTCTTGAATATGTCCATCTACTATTAACCTGTAACCCTCACTGCAAGATTCGCCAGAGTAGTTCTTGTATGTCATCATCTAAAGCACTTGTACTCTCAACTGTATCTTTGGGGCGAAATACAGGGGAGAGATTACATTTTAAAAAAACATGTGCTGTCTATTGCTATTTTATTCTGTGTTCTGTTGCCCACTATGAAGAGATATGTCAGTTATGGAAGTAAACACTCCGTTCCTTGGGCTTTGGATATTTTTTATATGCCTTTTTATATCCTCTGCACATGAAGGGGCCGCTTATGAGGTCGTCAACCTTGCATCCGCTGAATGGGTCCAGTATACGGCCCTTAACCTCACTGACGATGCGAAATCGTGGTGGAGATCAAGCGGCCTTACCATTCGCAGCTCCTGGGACGACTTCAAACAAGCCTTCCTCAACTTTCACACCCCGCCCAATGCCGCCGTCGCTGCTCTTTCGGCTCTTGAGTCTTTACGACAAGGCAAGCGTACAGTCGCCGCCTACACCCACGAATTCCGCCGCCTTCGCCGTCGAGTTCCCTCCCTTGACAATACTACCGCCTTGCACTGGTACAAAAAAGGCCTCGAAAAAGAAACCAGCAAGGAGGTTATGCTTCGCCAGCCGGAGACCTTGGATATTGCCATTACTCAAGCCACTCTGGTTCACTCCATCCTCTACCCTGACGGGCCCACTGGTCCCAAGCCCATTGTTCAACAATCCAGCGATATGGAGATCGACACCTTCCATGTTGCTATCAACAACCTCTCCGCACAAGTCAGCTACCTTTCGCGCCGATCCGGCTACAACCACAGCCAGCACAACACCAAACCCTTTATCTACAACCCCAATACCCACTACAAACCCGGCGGTCCTCTTCCTCCCAAGCTATCACAAGAAGAGAAAGACTACCTCTACAAGAATGGTGGCTGCTACAAGTGCCGTAAACTTGGCCACCTTGGGCCCGATTGCAGGACTTTCCCTTCGACTTCACGCCCGGCACGACAGTTCAACAATATCGAGGTTGCCGACACCCCAACCCCTCAACAGGCTACTTCCCAGGCTCAGTCGGGAAAAGCCAACAGCAACTAGAAGACGTCCAGGTTCTAGTTGCTGCTGCCCCCTCCTCTGCTCCTCTGGACCAGAGGAGTAAGCCTCTTTCTTCAGATAAGTTTTCCTCTTTTTCTTTTTCGAATAAACGACTTTCTCTGCCCAAAGACCTTGCTCCTCTCCCCTCCCCCGCTGCCATTACACTTGATCCCTCGCCCCCTGTCCCTTCTCCCATTATCATTGAGCTCCCCGCTGTATGCACCTCCCCTGTTCAAGAGGGGGCTGGATTGGCTGCTACAGTGGACCTGGACCCACCTATGTCGCCCCTCGTTCTAGCCCCCACGCCTGCTTCGTCTGTTCCATCTACCACGCCCGTGCCTGAGACCGTACCTGTCTTTCCCACAATGACCAAGAGCAAAATCCGCCGGTTGCGAAAAAGGGGCATTGGTGTGTCTACGTTCACTGCCGAGCAAGCCAAGACTACCCTCCTCACCTTTGTCTGCAATGTTAATGGTCACTCCGCTCGGATCCTCATCGACGGTGGAGCTCAAGGCAACGTCATCAGCTCTTCTTTTGTAAAGCGACATCAAATTCCTCTTCACTCTTCTTCTCCCATCCCCATTGTCCTCCCCGACGGATCTCACTCCTTCTCTGCCCACACCGCCCACATCACCTTTGCACGACAACAATACTCCACCACTCTCGATCCCCTCGTCTACCCTTTAAAGAGCTACGACCTCCTCCTTGGCAAACCTTGGCTCACACAAACCAACCCTCTCATCAACTGGCGAACCAACAACCTCCGCATCCGCTACAACGACATCGACATAGACTGGGACTGTACCGGCTTTCAGTCATCTTCCATCAGCACTCGCACTCGCGGCCTTCTCCTCTCCCACATCCACTTCTACACAGAGGCAACAACCCCCGGCAGCGAAATATACCTTGCCCTCATTCGTTCCAACGACAAAGACAACGACAAAGACAACAACAACAATAACGACAATGACAATGACCAGCCCACCTCTAACCAACAACTGCCCTCGATCACTCCCATCACACCACGACCACCTCCCTCTCTTCCCCCTGACATCCACTCCATTGTTCACGACGAGTTCCCCGACGTTTTTCCCTCTTCACTTCCTTCTGGTCTACCTCCGGACCGTGGAGATGCCATGCGCATCGAAACGGACCCGAGCGCTGACCCTCCTTTCAAGCCCGTTATTCGTTTGTCTATTGCAGAGTTGGACGAATTGAAGAAGCAACTTGATGAGTTACTCTCTAAAAAACTCATCAAGCCCAGCACTTCTCCCTACGGCGCCCCAGTGCTCTTTGTCAAGAAGGCCGACGGTTCTCTACGTATGTGTGTTGACTATTGTGGTCTCAACCGCATTACAAGAAAGAACCGCCATCCCTTACCTAGAATTGATGAGTTGATTGACCGTTTTCGGGGCGCAAAGTACTTTACCAAGTTGGACTTAATCTCGGGGTATCATCAACAACGCATCTATGAGCCTCACACTCATAAGACTGCCTTCCGTTGTCGATACGGGCACTTTGAGTTCAACGTCGTCCCCTTTGGCCTCACCAACGCCCCAGCCTCCTTCTCCAACATGATGCTCAAGGTCCTTGATCCCGTCCTTGACAAGTGGGTGGTCGTCTATCTTGACGATATTCTGATATACTCCAAGACCAAGGCCGAACATCTCCGTCATATTCGCAGTGTTCTCTCTCTCCTCCGCCAGCACGGTCTCTATGCAAAGTTGAGCAAGTGCTCCTTTATGCAACAAGAGACTGAGTTCCTCGGTCATGTCATTACCAAGGATGGTTTACACACCAATGCCGGTCTTGTTCGCGCCATTCCAGAGTGGCCTCGCCCAACAAAACAAAAGGACGTTCAACAGTTCATTGGGTTAGCCCAGTTCTACCAGCAGTATATCCACAATTTTGCTGACATCGCTCTTCCCCTCACGTCTCTACTAGGTGAAGGTCGCCAGTTTGTCTGGGATGATGCCACCGAGTCCGCTTTTCGTGCACTCAAGGATGCCATCAGCTCTGCCCCAGTATTACGCATCTTTGACCCAGACCTACCCTCGATCGTCGAGACCGATGCATCGGGTTATGCTGTTGGCGCGGTCCTCTTCCAGATAGACGCTGATGGGTTTGCACGACCCGTGGCCTTCACCTCGCGAAAGATGAATTCTGCAGAACGGAATTACCCAACTCATGAGCAAGAGCTCCTCGCTGTGGTCCACGCACTCAAGACCTGGCGGTATTACCTTGACGGCTCCCATTTTATTGTGTATACCGATCATGATACGCTCCGTCATTTCCCCACGCAACCCAAGCTCACTCGAAGACAAGCACGTTGGATGGAGCTTCTACAAGAGTATGACTTTGATTTCAAGTTCAAGCGTGGCGCTGACAATGTCGTTCCTGATGCCCTCTCTCGGCGTCCGGACCACCGCGTACCAAACCCCCCACCCCTCTCAGTCAATGCACTTGACCTTCAAGCGGACACAGGTTTGAGGCAGCGCCTGATCGAAGGGTATCAAAACGATCCTCGTCTTGGCCCTATCTATCAAAGCTGCCTCCGAGGCAAGTCACCATCCCTTTACTCATTGTATAATGGCTTATTGTATGTTGAGCGGCATGGTGATACCCTACTCTGCGGCCCCTTCATGTGCAGAGGATATAAAAAACCATATAAAAAATATCCAAAGCCCAAGGAACGGAGTGTTGACTTCCATAGCTGATATATCTCTTCACAGTCGGCAACAGAACATAGGATAAAATAGCAACAGATAGCACAATTTTTTTTTAAAATGTAATCTCTCCCCTGTATTTCACGACAAAGATACAGTTGAGAGTGCAAGTGCTTTAGATGATCACATACAAGAACTACTCAGGCGAATCTTGCAGTGATGGGTACAGTTTAATAGTAGATGAACACATTCACGATATTGGTGAGCGAAAAATAAGAAGACTTTGTTGTTTGGAGAATGTAGTTGTGTTTAGTAGGATAATCGCGCAAGGAATGTTACAGTGGTTGTTTTAAATGGTTGATATCATACATACACTCTCCTCTAATGGACGCGGTGGATATCGTCAAGATCTGCAGAGATGTAACAAACACCATATGATAATTTGGACTTGAAAGGCCTCCTTAACAGAAGTAGTCATAGTGAATGAAACAACAACTGACGAGAAGAATGTCAGTGACATCAACCCACGGAGTGAAACAGTGAAGAAGAGAAAGAAGAAAAAGAAGAATGCAAAGGGTATTGCGAAAATCGAATTGAAGAGCAAACTGCGTGGTGAATCCGGTTTGGGTATGAGAGTTCATGTAGGTCCATTGCCGATGCATCCTCTCGACGGGGGGGAAGGTAGCGGTGATGCTAAAGTGGCTGTCGACCAAGCAAAGGTGAAGTATGGAGCTATGGGCATTGTTAAAGAAGGAAGAGATAATGCACCGGCCGAGTACAACATCGAGGATGTAGTAGACGACGAGTACCTAAGGGCCTTCGAAAGATTTTCAATTAGTGATAACCCAGTGTCAGACGCATGTGATGGTTACCCATTATTCTCCTTTGGAGAGAAGGACTTTGAGTTAGTACACAAGCACTATGGTTCAAGTAAACGAAAACATCAGCCGGATAATCGACTGTTTGTTCCTGTTTATCTTAATCAAGAGCGACATCTTGCACTCATTGATACTGGTGCCACACACTCATTTATTAGTGCAGCTGTAGTCAAAAAGTATTCTATTCCGGTTAAACCAATGGAAGGATACATTGAATTAGCTGACTCGTCTGTCATTAAACGCGTTGGAGAAACGGAAAACGTAGAGATTGTCTGTGGACAGAATGTGCTTAGCGCGCCATATGAGGTTATTGAACAGAGTCATGCAGTTACCATTGGCATGGATCTCTTTCACCGCTATGGATTCAATATCGTTGGACTACCCGATGCAGATGAGTCGTCTGGACGGATGCCAGCGCCAGTTGAAGACGAAAAGCCCACGCTGATACCTCTCACGATTCCAGAACGAGAAAAGACGCAGGAATTTATTGCGGAAAAGGACGCGTTCATGAAGAGTATAGAAGAGTCGCTAAGGTTAAACGCCAAGATTCCAAATACAAGTCATTGTACTATACCTGAAATGAAGGTGTATTTGCCAGTCCCTGATGACGTTATCCTCTACCGCAGACCTAAAGTATTTGCTGCATTGCAAATGCCGGTTCTTGATGAAGCAATCCAGAATTGGCTGAAGGATGATGTAATTACTTTAGCACCTGCAGGTAATGCACACAACAACACATTAACGCTAGCGGCTAAGAAAGATGCAAACGGAAACAAGACTCTCTACCGAGTGTGCTTGGATCCGCGGCCCTTAAACGCGCACCTACCCGATGATAATTTTCCGGTACCACTTATATCAGACATCATGCAATTTGCTGGAGGCAATGCAGTGTTCTCGACTGTGGACCTAAAGCAGGCGTATCATCGATTACCAATCCATGAAGAAGTTCAGCCGTTGACGGCATTTATGCATAACGGGATTCAATATATGTTCAAGAAGGCTCCTTTTGGATTGAAGCCCTTGTCCAGTTTGTTTCAGCGTGGCATGAGCCGAATCCTTGGGGATTTGAAATTTGTTAGAAATTTTATCGATGACATTCTTCTCGCATCAAAGAACAGAAGCGATCATGCGATTCAGATGATAGAGTTGGTTAAACGGCTAACTGATGCCAAGCTTATTATTAACCTTGACAAGTGCAAGTTCTACAGTACGCAGGTGGCGTTGCTGGGCTTCATTGTGGATCTTGATGGAAAAAGAATTGATCCCAATAAATTGGTGAATATCAATGATTGGAAACCCCCAACTACGGGTAAGCAGGTTCAATCTTATATGGGGACTTTTAATTTTTTCCGCGATCACGTACCCATTATAGCTACCATTAGTGCTCCGCTAGATGCTATGCATAATGTGGTGGGTCCATTTAGCGGCCCCTTCATGTGCGGAGGATATAAAAAGGCAT